TAAAATAGTGTTAGGGTGTTAGTGAGAGAGTAAGGGTTCGAAACTCTCATACTCTAAACCCTTATTGCCACCATCTCCTTCTTCACCTTCTACTCCATAGAAGAAGTATTTTCTGCTGTTCTTTTCGATTTCTTTTGATTTCTGCATCTATTCTAAACAGTCCCACACTCTCAAGGACTGTTTTTCTTCTAGATCAAATATTACTATTTTGCAAAAATAGGGAAGCCCAGAAGATGCAAATATCTTTACATGGTTAATGATCAAAAGAGCCAAATACAAGGAGAACAAGCCTTATGAACGGAAGGGTCACTACACCACAAGAAGGAAAAAACAAAAGACTGAAATAATACCCAAGGGAGGGACCATTGAATTGAGCTTCACAACTTTGCATTTGTTTTAATTACCCTTAATTACCCTTATCACTTATTCTTAGTATTACTTGGTGTTTTTTGTACTGTAATTTGTTAATTGGAGATCTCATGTGGCATCGTCAATTTACAGAAAATAGGTAGGGGTCCTACAACTTTCGTGTCTGGTGGTGCTCTTTATAGGTGAAGAAAAGCGATTTGGGTGATTAAAGATGATGAATATGGGCAGAAAAGCAAGTATACAACTTGCTTTCCACAAAAGAATGACTAAGAATCTAGATTCCAGATAGGAAGAACTTCATTTTCTTTTTTTAATTTTTTGATTGGTAGAAAGCACTTTAGAATTAAGAAAAAATAGTAGAAGTCTTTCTGTCAGTACATATAGCAGTAGATAGATTATTTAGAGGCAGAAATGAGTGTAGAGAGAGAGACCTGGCTACAACTAGAATTCACTTAATGAAACTTCTGTTCATCAAATAAACTCTTCTAACTTTTAATTACAATGACTTTATTTATCGGGTCAATAAAAGGGCTTGGATATTCCTTTCTTAACTCCAATTCCAATTAGGAAATTGGCCAGAATTAACTTTTAATTGCATTAAAACTAAGGAAAGCACATATATAAATTAAATTTTTTTTGATCAATAACAAAACTTTCACTAATCAATCAGAATAGTTAATTATACAAAGGGGGAGATAAAGTCTCTTAACTCCCCAGCAGAGGCATGAACCCCCACAATGAGAGAACCAGAATTACAGCTGAGCCCAAAATATAGATTCCCTGTCCACCTCCACCCCTAGCTTAGCTAACCCATCAGCAAACGAATTAGCAGATCTCTTCACCCAGCTGAACTTTATTTCCATGTCCTTAACCAGCCATCTGAATTTTCTCATTTTGTTGTTGTATGCAGCCACCCTACCACCACCTCTGAATCCCCTTCAATTGCAAGCCTTCTAATGTTCCCTTTGCTCTTTGGGCACCTTCCAAAACTGCAAAGATCTCAGCCCTGAAAGAACCACTGCTCCTGATTGGGCCTGAACTGAGCTAAAACAGTCCCATTCTCATCCCTAGATACACCCCCTATGCCTGACTGCCCAGGATTCCCTCTACTATTACCATCAAAGTTCAGCTTTATAAATCCAGTGGGGGGAGCGGTCCAAGACAAGCTTAGACCCGTTTTGACCTGGGAACTGCTAGCAATCTCTCTCCAATTCCTTAGCAGATCATCCATAGTAAAATCTGTGAATAGGTCCTATGATTTCAGCCACTGAACTACCCTGATGTGAATCAGCTCTATCAAATTTTCAACACTTCTCTCTCTTTCAGAGAAAAGTCTTGAATTCCTTTCTCCCCAAACTGACCAGCACACTGCAGCCCTTAGGCATCTCCACATAGTTCTGCCCCTTTTCAAATGCCACCTGAAAAAAGAACAAAAAAAGGCTCTGCACATCTACAGGGGGGGTTCTATCCAAGCCTGAAGAGAAAGGCCCATTCCCTAAAAGTTTTGGCAACCTGGCAAGAAATCAAAAGGTGAAAACCAGTCTCCCAATCAGCTTTACAAAGAATACACCTATGAGGGGATAAACAAGTCTTGGGTCTCTTTCTTTGAAGCAGATCACTAGTGTTGATTCTATTCAGAAATAATTCTCAACAAAAACTTCCAACTAGGGGTGATCATGGGCCGGGCCGGGCCGGGCTTTGCCTTCATAACAATGGGCTTAGGCTAGGCTCAGGCCTGGCCCGACCCGCATTATGGGCCTAAAAATATAAGCCCAGGCCTGGCCCTACATGGGCCCGGATTGGGCCGGGCCAAGATTCCGGGTCTAATTATTGTATTTCAGTTCCAAAATTTAACAATTATACTTTTTTTTTCACTTATTGTCATGGAGACTATAGTGACATGTAAGAAACTTTAAACTTAATATCAAGATAAAAGTTTTTAGCATAGTTATTGATAAAAAAAAAGTTAAAAACTTCTAACGTAAAAGAAATTAAATAATTATACCTTGTAATTTATAAGTTTCAATTGGTATTAGTATGCTAAAAATGATAATTTTAACAAACCAATTCTTCTATCAACAAAAAATCAACCTAGAACCTATAATATCTATCAAAAAATAAACATTCATTGTCATGTAATATCCACAAAACAACTTTAAACATCTCTATAAGGGCTCCATCTCTGTAAGGTGCAGTACTACAGTGGGTTTTGACTTTTTTTTGTGAGGGAAAGATTGGGCGGTGGTTTTGTGAAATTGGTGAGAGAGAGAGAGAGAGAGAGAGTTAAGAAGATTAGGGTTTAGTAATTTCTATCAATGTTTTAAAATGTGGAGCCGTGACGTGAGGCGTTCCACTACCTAGAGGCATGAGGCGTAGTTCAAAACGCAAGAGGCGTAAGCCTCCCGAACACAAGGAGGCATAAGCCTCCTTAAGAGGAGGGGGGTTAGGAGGATGAAGAGGAAGGGGGGATCTCATTTTTTCTTTATTTTTAATAAAAAACTTTTATATTAAGAAGGACAAAGATGCATAACATTAGTTGAAGGGGGGGGGGGTCTTGTCTTTTCTTCCCTTCCCTTCCCATTTCTTTTCTTTCTTTTTCTTTCCTTTTCTTTTCTATTTTTCTTCTCTTTCTTTTTCTTTCCCTTCCCTTTCTTTTCCTTTCCTTTCCTTTCTTTTTTCTTCTTTTTTTTTTCTGTCTTTTTATATAAGATGTGCATGAGGCGTACGCCTTAGAGCGTTTTGGGCGCCTCCAGACATACGCCTCCCACGCCTTTTAAAACACTGATTTCTGTATTTCATTAAATGCTAGATTAAAATTTGGTAAGATCTAGGAGACTAGCCATAGGATTAAAATCTTTAATTTCCTACAAATCTCTATTTAATATATAAAACATCAATTATCAAATATTTTTAAATAATATATATACATAAAGAAGAAAAAAAAGAAGAGTAAGAAATTTGATGGAAGGGGTTACTGGTGTGGTTCTTATCTGGTTAAGGACCAATAGTCAAGGATCTTGGCACTTGGCAGTACTGAAACATAATACAGGAGATAAGAAGATTAGAAAGGAGCTGGGGACTTCTCTTAGTTTCAAAGATCAGCATACTGCTTGGCTGATGCAAAAGGCACATAGGAACCAATGTTTTTGGCGTCAGTAATAAGAGTAAGAAATGTAAGCATTAATAGAAAGGTTTAGGTCACAGATGCTAGCGTAAAAAAAGAGATGCTTATATGTAATTCATTTTTTATTTCATGACCAATAAAATTTAATGATTAGTACTAACATACCATTAACTTTTGAAAAATCTAATTCTCTCTAATTTGACTCTTCAAACCACTATGAACCTTCAAGAAAATTATTCCCATTCCTTATACACCAACAAGCTGGAAAATAATTTGAAAGACTCAAAAATATCAATACATACATCACCTAGAACTATGGAATTACCACTAGTTCAAGAATGTGAAGAAATTTGGTTTGTTCTTCCATGGTATCTTTCTTTGCTTCTGCACTTTCTTCATCAATTATGTCAATATTGATGTCTTCACTTCTAAGGTTATGCACTTTTGAACCATTGAAAAATGTTTCAGGCTTTCAGTGCTGAGATTCTGTGGCAAATTACCAGCCAGAATTGGAACAAGGACAAGAATTGCATTCTGAGTGACTGGATTTCAGCATCTTGGTTCTTCCATAATTTTTTATTTCTCTTTTTGCTAGGGTTAGGTAATCATTTTTAACCAGAAACGTAATACACAAGTAATGTTGTCAGTATGAGGCTATCTTATCTCTCTCTTTCTCTCTTGTTAACAAGAGTTTTTTTTTTCAATAAGTTACTGTTTCCTTTTGATCTGTATTTTAAGCATTTTCATAGTATTTGAAGCTTACTATGCAGTCATTTGTTCTTTTCTTCCTAATGCAAGGTTATTCTATCCATTGTATGTGCCTTTAATTTTTTTTTTTTTTGTTATGATCTCCTTGTGTGCTGACTATTCAATTTTGAAGGTTGAGGACATTGCTTTGAAGTTCAGGGACTTGCATGAGATGCTCGAAGTAACACCTTCATCCACATCATATGAGAAGCTCATTATGTATTGCTGTGATTCATGTAAGGTATGATCAGCCTTATTATCTAAGAATTAAATCTATTGCAAGTAATACTTTTATTCTTCAAACTTGTTGGAGATAAGGGTTTTTTGTAGTGCTAAGAAAAGGAGGATAGCAAAAGATCCAATTAGAAGACACTGGGAATTTTCGATTTTCAGTGACTGATATAATAAGTGCGTGGAATGAAGTGGCACAGTCCTCTAAAGAAAAGCTTAGGGTGATCATGGAATGGAAACCCCCAGCAAGTAATAAAATAAGGCCAAATTTTGATGGGAGTTCCATGGGAAATCTGGGAATGGCAGGTATTGGAGATGGTTCTAGAGATTCTTTAAGCAGGTTTATGGTTTTGTATTTGGGACCTATAGGGGATGGAGATTCACTGAAAGCAGAACTGATGGATTTGTTGCAAGGTTTAAGGTTTGGTAAGTTATCTCCTGGAAGTAGAAGGGAGTCTAGTTATCTCCTGTACAAGCAGTATTTGTCATGTGCCTTGAATCTATAGGCATGCTCTAGGGAAATAGAAAGCCTGTCAAAGGAGTTGAATACCCCCTTCAATTGGGTAAGACGCACTCTGCAAATAGGATATGTGGTAGTTAGAAAAACAGGGAGTTTATAGCCAATAGCTGTTTTGGGCATTGTTGTAACTCTTTATTTGGGCATTGGTTTATTAACTATTTGTACATTTAGGTGGGTGAGTATCTAATCTGTTGTACATAACTTCATTCACCAATTAATAAAATTTCTTGCCGATCCAAAAAAGATCCATTTAGAAGACAAAGGAGGACTTGGCAATCTCAGGGTTTCTTGACATGTAACAAGAAAAATTTTATTAAGGGAAAAAAGAACTGAATACAGCCTAACGGCAGGTGTTAAGATGACACCTCCAAAACCACAAACTACTTCTAACCACCTAGAACAACAAAAAGCAGGGAGAGAAAACAAGAAATTACACCACTCTTGCACAGCAACCGCAACACCAATGACACAGATACTAGGCATAGGTCAAACTTACACCACTCTTCTGGGCCTCCTTTCTCATCCCAAAATTCTCCCCCTAAAGCTTCAGGAACCTTTCTCAAGCTTTTTCTTATTTCCTCTTTCTCTTGAATACTTGGGCTGCGTTTTGTTTGTGGGAAGATTTTGGTGGGATGGGATGGGATGGGAAAGGGAAAATGGGTGGAAAATTTTCATGTTCCATTGTTTGGTTGCAAAAGGGAAAATAGTGGGAAAATCCACCTTAGTAATATTTTTATTATTTTATATTGTACTATTATTAATTATTAATATTTTAATCAAACAATCTTATAATTAATTAATATTGATAATTATCTAATTAATTATTAATTAAGAATTAATATTTTAAAATATATTTTATTAATATTTACTCTGAATTAATTAATAATTTTATTTTTACTATTAGTTATTTTTATTGAATCATTAATTAGATTAACAATAAAATCCTTATTTATTTATTTATTAATTACTTAATTAATTATTAACTATTTTTTGTTAATTTTAATTAGTTATTAATACTATTTATTATTTATTATTTTATTATTAATTAGATATTAATTATTTAAAATTCATAGTTATTTAATTGGTTATTTAAAATTCATAGTTTATAAGTTATTATTAATATTATGTTTTATTAATACCCATGAATTAATTAATAATTTTAATATTTTAATATTAGTTATTCATAAATTATCAAATTATTTTTCATTGATAAATTATTTTTAATTAAACTATTAATTATAAAATAATTATTTAATGATTTAATTCATTAGTAAATTAGTTAATTATTAAATTTTTTGTTATTAGTTCTTAATTATTTAGTAATATTTTTATGATGTAGTAGTTTGTTGTTAATTATTATTTTCTAATTAATTACTAAAATTAATTAATATTTTAATTTTTATTACTTTATATTTTATTATTAATATTTTATTTTATTAATACTTATGACCTAATTATAGTAGAAATCTGCTGAATTAAAAAATCTGTAAAAGAAAAGATATTTTCTTGAAGAAGAGGAGAGAGAGAAGAAGAAGAGGAAGAGGAAGAAATTTGAGAAAGAAAAAGAGAGCTTAATTCTGGCCGCCCCCTTCACTAGTATTTATATTAAAAATATAAAGTGGAGTGCAATGACTAATATGCCCTTATAGGGCGGAAGCATCTAAAAACACATAAAAGACTTAGGAAACAATCAACAAAGGACCTAACATAAATGCTGTGGTCCCCACTTCCTTTCTGACAATTAACATATAAAAAAATTAACCGTTAAATCTACACAAAACTGATTAAATCCTCAACAATTATTATGTTAATTTTTTATTATAAAAAATTAGGTATTAAATAATTTATTGATTCATATTTGTTTATTTTAAGTTATTTATTAATTTTTTTAATTAAATTATTTTATTATTATGTCTTTAAATAATTAATAATTTATTTATGGGTCATGGGTCAAGTATTAACTCTTAAAAATACTACAAGGAATGTGTTTGTTTTTGTTAAATAATTTTCCTCCTACATCCCCACTTGTTTCCCACCAAAATGGTGGGACTCCACATCCCAAGAATTGTGATCTATATTCCCAACTTTTGCCATCCCATCTCATGATACCCCACAAACCAAACATGGGAAGGAAGGAATATTCCAGATTTTCCCTTCTCATCCCACAAACCAAATGGAGCCTTATAAGATGTTTTATCTGGGCAAGGAGCTACTAGAATCCTATTATACTGGGGGGTTGTTTCTTTGATGCGGCAGGGGGGGGGGGGTTAATTTCTAGCTTGTAACTTGCTAGAAAGATGGGGGAAAGGAAATTTGGGGTAGTGGAGGCTGACCTAATATTGTTGGGGTGGTAGGCACAAATACAACCTGTATGCTATTCCTTACTACAAATTAAAAAAAAAACCACTGTTTAGTTACTCATCAACAAAAAGTTTTTGGAGATGAGATTATTTTTTCCTGAGATGTTGTAGTGCCCTGAGGGAATCTATTTTTTTCCCTTCTACTTTTAGCTTCAACACTTCAAGTGATGGGCATATTTGTTTTTGTTTGCAGGTGCATGAAGCTCTGAGTTTAGTTGAGCAAATGTTTCAGTCGGGTTTGACCTTATCTGTGGACACCTTCAATTCCATTTTAAGGGCAAGTGGGGAGAGCTATGAATTTGATTTGGTAGGTCCTAATGGTTCTTTTTATATAAACCAAATGATAAGTTTGATGTCATTTCTGGTCTTATTTGTGTATGTCGTAATTGTTAAAGTGATATTTATCTTATTTGATAGTCATCAAGTGAAATTACAGTATGAAAATGTCCTTTTTCACCTTGCCTATGTGTATCTCCATGGAATCTTAGGATATCAACACATGAAATTTGCTTTTTTTTGGTTTTATATGAATTTTTCCATGAATGAATATGGGACTCACTGCATATATGATATCAGTTGTTGTGCAATATATGATTATCTAGGCATCAAAAGACATCCCCATGTGTTATACTTTCTTGTGCAATATATGATTATCTAGGCATCAAAAGACATCCCCATGTGTGATACTTTCACATGGATCACTGTTTTTATGCTTTTGGTCTTTCTTATTTCTGATCTTTAGTTGTTGAGTGGTTTATTATAATAGTGTGTAAGTTGTAGAGGTATTTCTGTCTCTTTGTATTAAACATAACATGTAAATGTTGGAAGAAGTCTGACTGCCCTTTTATTTATTTTTTTGATGGGTAACTTTGACTTTATATATTGAATATGGGAGAGAATAAAGAATGAAAAATGTACAAATATGCCAAGTATTTGTCATCTTAGTATGATCACTGCCACCTAATCCCCCCTTCTCATTTATTACGTTTCATAGTTCCTTAACTGTTCTCAAAGCAACTATGTATCTCTTTAGTTTTACCTGGGCATCTATTTTCTTCCTCTTATTTTCTCTTCTTCTCTTTTATTATTTCTCTTCTTTTTCTTCAGTTTGCTTACTCTGTATTAGTGAAATATTTTTAAATTCAATAGTTAGAAATGCTTGTTTAAATTTACCTATTCTTGAATTGTCTTTTCTTGCAACCTCTTTTGATGAATGTCCAGATTTCATATTTTAGAATCTTTTAATATGGATTATGGATCTACTATGTTATGTCTTCTAGTTATTTCTGCTATGTTTCCTGATATTGATCCTATATAAATGAAACCGCTTATTTGGAACTTGAATAAAATTTAAAATGTTCTATTTTACTTATTCCATATTTTTATCTGAAGGTTCATCAAATGTATTCAGCAATGCAACGTCATAACTTGAAGCCAAATGCTGAGACATTTAGGAGCATGATAAATTTATGTGTAAGAATGAAAGATGTAAGTTTACACATATGATTTTTTTCCCTTGTATTTGAATATATAGTTTCATTCTTGATTTTTAACAAAGGATAACATGAAGATAAGGGGAAAATAAATAGATATGGTCATTATTTCTTGAAAGTTTTCTTTTGGAGGAGGGTTAATCTGGCAAGTGCAACTATCCAACCATCAGCTGGAAAAAAAAAGAACCACACAGATACTCAAAGTATATAAACTTTAGTGGAAAAGAAGATCTCCAATACATGTCATCCCTCAATTCTACTAGAAGTTTTATGTATTTATTTTTTCTGAAATTGAGGTGTCTTTCATAAATCTTTTTCTTTTTCCCTTTGTAGTTTGAAGGTGCATATCAAATGTTAAAAGATTTGGAAGGAATGAATATAATGCCCACAACAAACATGTACAATGCCATAATGGCTGGATATTTTAGAGAGGTAAGTAATTTTATCTTGAGAGGCAAGAAGTTTCTTAGAGTTGTTTTATGATGCTATTCTGTTTTATTTGTTTATTTCTTACAGAAATCCAGAAGTTCCTTTTTTCTTTTTCCTGCACAAATTGTGTTTATATCTTTTTGTTTGTTACATGGTACATGATACAGGTGAATTCAATTATCTTCTATTGTTAGTTTTTGGTCAACCATTCCATTATGCTACTGTCATGCCTGAGCCATGAAAGGATTAAACATTACATAACATATATGTGTTGTATAAGTTGCTGCTTATGTGTTGATTGCATAGAAGCTTAAAGATTTTTTTTTTTTGTTGGAAGTTGCCAAATTGTCTGAAGGCAAAATCTTCGAGAACAATTAAAAAGAATCCTTAGATAAGTTGCTTCTTTTGGCCGCAATTATGAATAAACTCGAAGTTAGCTCTGGGGTCTCTATTTTCCGTTTTGATGATAAAAAGGCTATTCTGGTCTCTGGATACTGGTCCGGACTTGTTTGGGTTTTCATGAACTCGTTTGGTGTATGCATAGTTTTTAAGGCGCCAAGGTGAGGCTAGGTGACAGGGGGGCACCTTGTTGCCTAGTCGACGAGGCGGGCGCCTTGGCGATGGATTTTTTTTTTTAAGTAAAACCATATATCCTAGTGTAGTTCCCTAGGTTCCATAACCATCTTTCCTTCATAATTATTCATAATTTTCATAAGACAAGTATAAAGTTCATGTTTTAAGTTTAGAAAATCAACATTTTATGAGAAGAAAAGGAACAAAGGAAAGAAAATTCAAAAAATATAGGGGCTGAACCCCTACTTCTGTTATAGGAAAAGAAGAAAATAAAAGGTGGAAGAAGAAGATCTATAAGGAGAAAATGTGTTTGATTAGACAAAATTTTAAGTTCTACCCTTGCTTATTGGTTCAGGTTCTGAAATCTTTGAGGATTCGATCAAGGATCAAAACTTCGATACGACATGCCCTGTATCGGGTGTATTGTATTGTATCTTTGGTGCCCCAACACACATGTTTACAGGTGTTTTCGGGAACCCATATTTTAAAATAATATATATATATATATATTTAAAAATGAAATTGAAAACAAAGAAACAAATAGGGGGAGTATCGTTATAAGTATTGATACACCTCTGCCTATACACAGAGGTGTATCAATACTTTGAATCATGGGTTCGATATAGCAGTTAACAAGGTTCAAAGTATTGGAAATGCAAGGTATATTGGAAAGGTAATTTTAAGAGACGTATTGACATATGCTTTGGAAACACATAGATACGGACAAAAAATCAGGATACGCATGGATACACTAGAAAATCCAAAAAAATCCTTAGAAAATATGAACAACAATAAAAATGAGTTTTATATGATTCTAACTAATTTATTTAAACATAAAAATCATTCTTTAATGATTTATATAAAGTATCGGGATATAATTAGTAACTATCGAAAAATAATAAAAGATCTAAAATGTATGTGTGTGTATATATACTAATATTTATTTGAAGTCATTTATTAGTTAATATTTATTATATAGATTTAGATAATATTTATTATGTATACAAGTTAATATATACCTTAATTTTTAATAAATATATATAATTTGTATTCATCTTATTATTATATAAATATTAATAATCAAATTTTAGCATTTGTTGGGAAACATTCACAAGGCAAGAAAGATTACTTTAAGTATAAAAAAACATGTTTTAATAAGCAATTAAGGTTGGCATAATGGTTAATTAATTATTGTTGTAAGCAAATTACTTGTGTTCGAAAATTGTTACCTTCAGTTTGTGATTTTTAACACGTTATTTGACTTAGATAACATTTAATGACATATTAAATGTCGAAATTAAAGGTAACTCAATTGAGCATTTAATTAAATGATATTAGCATTTAGTGACGTCTCAAACTTAAGGCTTAATTAAAATTGATATTAATGAGAGGGAGAGAAGAGATGAATTAAATTTAAATTTAAAAAGGAGAGGGAAATTAAATTCGGCTGACGGTCTGATACGAGGCCGATACAAACGAAAAAGTACGAAGCCATCTAATTATACATGTTCCATGTATCAGAACTCTTTCGAAATGATACGTATCGACCAATACGTTGCGAAATTTAAAACCTTGGCAGTTAGCAATGTTTGTGTTGATTAAACCCTAACAAATAAGAAAATAATAAAAAGAAATTAGTACATAAACACATAAAATTAGTATTATAGTTTAATAATGCCTTTTTTATAGTTATATTGTCAAAAAATTTAAAATATAAAAGTATTTTATAACATAGTGCACAAAACTACTTGGCGACTGGGCGAGGCGAGTCTCCGAGGGCGCCTTGTCGCCTAGGCGTCACCTTGACAACTATGGGTGTATGGATTAAGAATTTAAGACCCTTGCATGGACTTGTTTAGGCTATGGGTGTAGAATTTAACTGAGGCAATGGTGCACTAAGCACACACCTTTTCAAAGGGGCTATGCCTGGGCCTAGGTGAGGCATAGGTCTTGAAATGCATCTTGCTTGTGTGCTTAGGTGCACTTTTTAAATCACTAACTATATTCCTTGAGACACCAACAAACTAGAATATAAATTCAAGAACTCTAAAAAACTAATATCGAAAACACCCAGAAATTATGAAATAGCCATTGGAGGAGGAATTGGGGGAAAACCATTGTTTCTTTCCCTGATTCCATTCCTGCATCACAATGTACAGAACCTCTGTAGGGTAGGGATTGATTTTTTATTGATAGTAAATGAAAAAGAAAATTCATCAAAATGAAAGAAATTTATGTTTTTGTTGTACTTTCTATATCTTAAAGAGGTCTACTATTTTGATTTTCTTGCACTATTTGTTTGAATTACCCCACTTGAAGTGGCACAGTCCTCTACTATTTGAGTTACTCCACTTGCTGACAAATTTCTTGTTGCAGAAAAATGTTCATGGTGGATTGATGGTTCTTAAGCAAATGGAACGTGCAGATGTAAAACCAGATTCTCATACATTCAGCTATTTAATTGGGAACTCTGGATGTGAAGAGGACATTATTAAGGTATTTGTTTCAGTAGCATTAAGTTTTTGGTGGGACCTGGAAAATTTTCTCAACATTCTAAAGATGATAACAAAGCATAAAAAATACCTATCTATCATCCTCATGGACTTTGCTTCCTCAAGTTGACTTGCCCGTTCTGCTTCTTGTTGAACATGTACAGCTTAGAGATTTCCTCTTTTTGGAACACTAACATCAGAGGGGGAAGTTGGACTATTTGCACTTTTCAATGCATATGGAACAGATATTGCTTAGATGTGTTATTTGGCCAGAAAATATTTCATTCCACAATAATTGGCTTCTAGGATCTTGGGCAACTTTCAGCTGTTCATGTTATCATTGAAAAATCTTTTTATTAGTCTTGTAGCATTTGGAGTCAACAGCAACCTAAATGGGAGTGATTAATACTACACAAACATAAGAAACCAAAAACAAATTGACACAAGTCATGTAATACCTGATGATGAAGTGATGAATGCCAATACCATATGGGTAATTTTGACATTTTCGTGCCTTTTATTAGAGGATTTTAATTGAGGGGGTCTACTTGCAACTGTCAGAAAATTCAAGGGAGGTGATTGCAATTACCTAACTTCAGGGAAGGTTTCAGCAACGGTCAGAAACTTCAGGGGAGGTTTGAGCAATTTACCCTAAAAATATTAGTACTATTCATAGAATCTCAGAAAGCTGGAGTGGCGACCTCCAGACTGAACTTTGGTTCTTGAAGTGCTTGCAGTATTATGAAGAAATGCAGTGTGATAAATTGTGTACCTGAGCCTTGTTTACATGCAAAAATGTATTGTTTAAATGGTTAATGGCGTAATGAGTTCATTTTTTTGAAAAATATTAGTATTGTTCATAGAATCTCAGAAAGTATGGAGTGACAATCTCCAGATTGAACTTGGTTCTTGAACTGCTTGCAGTATTATGAAGAAATGCAGCGTGATGGAGTTCAAGTGACAAAGCATATTTACATGGCACTTATAAATGCTTATGCAAATTGTGGACAATTTGATAAGGCAAAGCAGGTATGTTTGTGCATGGCACTTAAATTGCTAGAGTTTTTTTTTGGAATTAAAAATGCTGCATCTGAGATGTGCACTGAGATTTAGAGGAAAGGTTAGGGTCTATTGATCCATTCAGTAACATTTTTATCTTTTTCTAAAAAGCATGTAATTACATAAATATGCCTAACTATACCTCTCTATATCACAATACTCCCTGTTAATGTCGACTATGTAGGGGTATTTTTGTCTTTATGCTTATGTTTAAGTTGCTGATGTGCAAGGCTATGTTGGATCTTTTGTCCCTCTTTTAAGTAGGGGCACATGTGTCATTTCCAGAGTATTAGTAATATAAAAACATATCTGGCCGAATGGGAGGGGGGGGGGACTTTTCTCTCTTGTTTGAACCAGATTTTTCTCTCCCTTTCTTCTCTTCTCATCTTCTTCTTCTCTCTCTTTCTTTTACGTTGACTATTATCAGTCTAATAGGATTCAAGGGCATGCCGAATCCTAATATGGTATCAGAGCCAAACTGAGCAAATCGGATCTGCCCAGAATTCTGTTATTTGCGCAGCCAGTCTAGGGTTTTCCCTTGCTTTCTTCGCCATCAGTTGGAAATAAGGGAAAGGGCTGAAAAGGAAAGATCGCCCTCTCCCCTTGGAGTTTTGTATGCCTCCAGTTGTGCTGTTTGTGGTTGTTCGCCGCGATTTGTAAAAAGCCCTCCCTTAATCGATGAAGAGAAGAGGGCTGGTTCGTGTGGTGCAGTGGGTGCCTTGTGTGGTCTGATTTTCGGGTGATTAGGTAAGAGGTTTCTATGCAATTTCTTGTTGTGAATCTAATGATAAGTCTGCTTCAGATTGTATGGTGGGAATTCAGATTGTTGTGTGCTAGGGTTTATGCAAATTTCAGTGTGATTCGAAGGGGGAGTGGTTCTCAAACAGTGTGGTGAGTTTTCAGGTAGTCGTGGGGTAGGGTTGTGGTGTAGAGAGTGCAGTTTTCAGCAACAATACGTGCTGAAAACAGTGTGTTCAATGTGTAGTGTGGTTTAGTGTGCAGTGTGCCGAATTCAGCAATAATAGAATTCAGCAATGGGAGACAACAGTGACAACAAGACTAGTGTGATGGTCCCTACTGACTACCTGAATGTTTAGATGACCTCTATTAAACTGAATGGAGAAAACTATGTACCTTGGGCTAAATCTGTAGAAGTCTTTCTCAAGTCAAAGAAGAAGGTGAAACACATAAGGGAAGAAAAACCCTCCACTGATTCTCATTAGTATGATGACTGGGAACAAGAAGTTGCACAGATTATCACATGGTTATGGAACAATATGGAACCCAAGATTAGTGTAAATTTCATGTTTCTTGATATTGCCAAAGAAGTGTGGGACTATGCTAAGAAGTTGTATTCAGGTCAAGACAACACAACTAGAGTATATCAGTTGTATCAGGAATACTTTAATCTGCAACAGGGTAATCGGAGTCTTGAAGAGTACTATGCTAGTATGAGAAACATCCGTAATGAGTTGAATGTTTATCACCCCCTCATTTCTGATGTCAAAATTCAGCAACAACAGAGAGAACAACTAGATGCGACTCGATTTTTGGTGGGGCTGAAGTCTGAATATGAACCAATGTGGGCTCAAATACTAGGAGGATCAGCTCTCCCTTCCTTAGAAGAGGTGTTTGCTCGACTTGGGAGGATTTTTATTGGATCTACCGAGAACCCTAGTGTTTCCGACAGATCAACCTTTGCAGTATCAAGGGGCTGTGGTGTTAGAGGTGGAGCTCGGGGAGCTCAGTCTGGCCGTAGTGGTATCAGTGGACCGGTATATGGCCGGAGTAGTGGTGGTGGACCTACATATTACTGTGGTGGTGGTCGTACTTGAGGTCGAGATTCAAGGGGAGCCCGTGGCAGAGGACATAGTTCAGGTCTGAGGAGATGTACACATTGTGGTATGGATGGGCATACCTTTAATTATTGCTATGATTTGCATTGTCCACCTTCAACTTGGGCCAATCATGTCATGACTAGTGACAGTAGCTTCAGACAGGAGAGTCGTTCAGCTGATTAGATGCTCTCTACATCCACAGATGTTCCCGGGAAGGAGATGAGTGTTCCCCGTGATGAGTATGAGAGGTTTGTCCAGGCCAAATCTCAGTAGAACACGGCCACTTTCGCACACTCATGTATGGCTTGTCTGGCATCCACACCCAATCCTTGGATTATTGACTCCGGAGCCTCCGATCACATGACTAGAACTCCATGTGTGTTTTCTTCCCTCTTTTATTGCTCAACATCACAATCTGTTACCCTTGCTAATGGCTCTGCATCCTCCATTTGTGGTGTTGGTAATGTTAATGTAAAATAAGAGTAAACAGAGGAAGAAGAAGAATTTGTTATATTATTCATCAATCTCGTATGTATATATACAAGTTACAAATTCTATGTTAGGAAAGAATATATTAGGAAAGAAGACTAATCAAATTCCTACAAATCTGTCATACAATCAAGGTAAATCATATCTCCCTAGTATTTACTTCCTATTTTAGTTATACAGTCTGTAACATCATATCTCCCTAGTATTTACTTCCTATTTTAATTATRCASTYTGTAACATCTTCCTATTTTAATTATACAGTCTGTAACAGTTAACATGGACCCTTTACCCTTATCCTCAGTTTTGTATGTCCTTAAATTTCCGTTTAACCTTATGTCAGTTAGTAAGTTGATCAAGTTTCTTTATTGCTCTATTACTTTTTACCATTATTCATTGTTTTTCAGGATCTCAAGACGGGGATGAAGATTGGTGGAGGGCATGAAGTTGGTGGATTGTATTACCTTGACGATGGTGGAAGTACGTCAACAACTCTCCAGTCATCTCTTTCTCCTTTCTAGTGGCATTGTTGATTTGGTCATCCTTCGCTAAAGTTTTGAAGTCTTTGGTTCCTTCGTTGAGTCATCTTTCTGTTTTGGATTGTGAATCATGTCGGTTGGGGAAACATCATCGTGTTCCCTTTAGTCCTAGGGTTGATAATCGTATGTCGAGTCATTTTTCTTTAGTTCATTCAAATGTTTGGGATCCTTATAAAGTAATGTCATACAATGGATATAGATATTTTGTCATTTTTGTTTATGATTATTCAAGGATGACGTGGCTTTATTTAATGAAAGAAATGAGTGAATTGTTTGCCATTTTCCAAAAATTTTATGCTGAGATTCGCAACCAATTTGGTGTCCACATTAAAATTTTTCGTTCCGATAATGGCCGTGAATATTTCTTTACATCATTTCAAGAATACTTGGACCACCATGGCATTATCCATTAGACTTCATATACCTACACCCCGCAATAAAATGGGGTGGCTGAGAGAAAGAATCGCCATCTTTTGGAAACAACTCGATCCCTTATGCACCACATGACTGTACCCAAACCTTTTTGGAGTGATGCGGTGCTTACTTCTTGCTTCCTGATTAACCGGATGCCCACGTCTATCCTTGATGGTCATTCTCCATTCACCACTTTGTTTCCTACCTTGTCTCCGTTTCCTCTTTCTCCTCGGGTTTTTGGGTGTGTCTGCTTCATTCATAATCTAGGGCCAGGAAGGGACAAGTTAGGTGCACGATCCATTAAGTGCATCTTCCTTGGCTATTCTCGGACTCAAAAAGTGTATAAGTGTTATCATCCTAGCTCTCGACATTCCTTTGTGTGTGCTGATGTTACTTTCTTTGAGTTTACTTTGTTTTTCTTGGGGTCCGGTGATGTTTCTTCCTCCTCATCACCTCCTCCCCTTCCTCTTTTAGTTGCGGTGTCTGTTCCTCTTGTTTAAGTTGTGACCAAGTCCTTGCCTCCGGTGCCACCACCTGTTGAACGACCACCTATTCGTCAAGTGTATACACATCGTCAACATGTACTGACTCCTCCTCCAGCTCCATCATTGTCGATAAATCCGACAGTTGTTCCCACACTAGCCCCAACCCCAGTATTTAATCTTGATCTTCCCATTGCCTTGCGGAAAGGTAAACGCAGTTGTACCCTTCATCCTATTTCTAATTATGTTTCTCTCACTCACCTTTCTGCTTCCAGGAAGCCCTTGCCTCTCCAGGATGGCGCCGTGCAATGGAAGAAGAACTCTCAGCTCTAACTCATAATCATACATGGGACCTCACCACTCTTCCTCCTGATGGTAGTGTAGAGTGGCTGAAAGCTAGATTGGTTGCCAAAGGGTACTTCCAAACCTATTGTATTGACTACACAGAGACCTTTTCCCCGGTTCCTATGATTGGTTCGGTTCGTGTTGTGATTAATCTTGCTGCTATGTAATATGTACGATTGGCCCCTCTATCAACTTGATATCAAGAATGCTTTTTTGCATGGTGATCTGCTCGAGGATGTCTATATGGAGCAACCACTGGGGTTTGTTGCTCAAGGGGAGGATGGTAAGGTGTGCTGACTAAAGAAGACTTTTTATGGGCTCAAACAGTCTCCTCAAGCATGGTTTGGTAGGTTCAGTGAGGTGGTAAAGAAGTTTTGTATGAAACAGTGCCAAGTTGACCATTCAGTCTTCAGTCATGACTCTCATGCAAGAAAGATCCTATTAGTGGTGTATGTAAATGATATTGTTATTACTAGAGATGATAAAGTGGGAATTGATAGGTTGAAAACTTTTCTATTGGAACATTTTCAGACAAAGGACCTTGGTAAACTAAAATATTTCTTGGGGATAGAAGTAGTAAGGTCTAAGCATGGTATTAACTTGTGTCAGAGGAAATATGTTCTTAATTTGCTAGAAGAAACATGTTTGTTAGGTGCTAAACCAGCTGAAACACCTACGGAAACAAACACTAAGCTGAGCAGTGATATGGGTGAAGAGTTTGAAGACCCTGGCAGATATCGGTGACTTGTAGGCAAACTGAACTACCTAACCTTTACTTGGCCAGACATTTCATTTGCGGTTAGTGTGGTAAGTCAGTTCATGCAGAAACCTCTGGTTCCACGTTGGGATGCAGTTCTAAGGATTGT